TATATTTTCCTTTTTCTTTGGTCAATACTCATGTTCCTTTTTCTGATTTTTTTTTAAAACTGTTTGGAAATAAAGGCATTTATTATTATTATTATTATTATTTGAAGTGTGCTTCGGGTCATTATCTTGCTGGAAGATAGATCTTAAGGGCATATTGTCTTCCATATAGGGTAACATGACATGCTTTAGTATGTCGGTGTATACAAACTTATCCATAATGCCATCTATTCTATGTAAAGGTTCCATCCCAAACTCCGAAAAGCACACCCAAACCATAACCATGTTTGACAGTGGGCAAAGTGTACTTGGAGTTAAATCTTTGTCTACTACGATGTGTAACGTAATGACCACCATCTGATCCAAACATATTGAACTTGGATTCGTCACTGAAAGATACCCTCTTCCAGTCACAGATGGTCCAATCAAGATTCAACCGTGCAAATTGTAATCGGTCGTTACGGCTTTTCTTCGAGAGTAGAGGCTTCTTACTAGGGCGACGTGCAAATAACTTCAAATCATTTAATATTCTACTTATAGTTTTCGTAGAAACACTGACAATTCATTTTGTCTCGATTTCGGCTTTTATTTGTCTTGGGGTTTTAAACGAATCTTTGGACGAAATTACTTTTATTAACTGATCTAGCATTTAGTTTTCTAGGCCAACCACTTCTCTTAGAGGCTTCCAAGATACCTTTTTATTTATATTTGTTCAATATTGCCCAAACTGCTTTACGCTCCAGCTTCAAATTTTTGACAATGTCGACTTGACGTACCATCTTTGTATAACTAAATGATCTTAGTTTTCACATCGAAAGAAATTTCTGGACCACGCGGCATTGTCTTAAAATCACTCAACTTATTCCACAATACTTGATGAACACAAACTAATCCTCTTTTGACACGAAACTGTACTAAAATAATGTTGAAAAGAATTTGTCTACATATTTTTGTCCCTCATAAACAAGTGCTTATATTCAGACTTGTGTTCATTGCAGATAATGTATAAACAAGGAATTTAGTTTTTCTACTAATAACGCATTTGTTTAAGGAGCAATGAAATATGAATTCGTTTTCTAAAGGTATTTAGGTAAATATTCATATTTGTCTATATACTTTTGTCCATTACTGTATATCTCGCTTTCATAATTTTAACACCTGATTCTAGCCATATTCTATATTGAAATTATCACGGTAGTGTTAAAATTATTATAGCGGATCAAATATATGTTGGCAAGGCGCCATAGAAACTAATTACAATATCGAATGTCAGTTGGAACCGGGCCCCTGTTCTTAAGTGAGGTATAAAATGCAAGCGTTGTTTTTAGCATCACACACTTATACGTTGTCTTATTAGTAGAGTAAATATTTTTATGACAAAGCTTTTAATCACCGATGCACTTCGGCTGCTATTTGCTATAAGGGAAATGTGGATATATTGTTCATCCAATTTTTAAACTGTCTAAGGTTATAGAACTAAGGGGCACCTCTTATGGTAGAATGCGTCTATGTACTCTAAAAACACAGGGTCGTTCGTATATAAGTAATTCCGCAGAATTAGAATAAGATGCAGAAGTCTTGTAAGCATATCAGACTTAGAGTTAGTGGCAATTTGAAAGGAACTTGAAAAAAGCAATGACCATGGCATAGCGTAGAAACAATTTAAGAACAACCCGCCCTTTGGAGAGTATCCAGTATGGAAAGTATACATATTTTCACATGTGAACAGTACTCCAGTCTTATCTGAGTCCTGTATAGAGTTAGAAAAATTGTATAGGTTCAAACAGGCATCCCAGTCCTTTTCCACCGATTAGATTTCGTCCACCAATGATTTTTTACAGTCCTGAACTGTCATTTGTAGTGCACCAGATCATTTCGGTATAGATATTTTCATGGCTTGTGGGGATAACGTCATATTGTCATAAGAAATAAGTTAATAGATTGACCAATAATACCACGGCCATAGCTTAATTTTTCCGAGGGAAATTTCACGCTTCACAAGCCGGTTCGTAACGCGGCTCTTACTCTCTTTTGCACATATAGTATACGAGCCCCTTCCCACTTCAATTGGCCCACTTCAAGATTTGTACCAAAATATACCTTTATAATACACCATGACGAAACTATTTACTTCTAAAACAATTTATTTTCTCAAAAACATTTTAGATACACTCTAGTCGTAAAAGATACATATTTGAAATCACTTAGATCTATAATTAATAGAACATCTGAACAAATAAACAATGTGCGAATAAATGGGCGAAGTTAACAAAGCAACAATTGAAAGATTACCATTGGGTAATATCACCTTTATTTTTTATTACGGCTGAAATTCTTTGGGGCATAGTGTTAACCAAGTTTTGGCAAAAATTTGGTGTAAAACAATCCCATATTTCTTGAAGCTTTTGTCCCAGCGATTGTACGAGCAGGATGTTGTCGTAGAACCTTTTTGATCTCGTGTCACAAAGTTTCAATAGGTCTGGACTGCTAGAAACCCATTTCAAAAGTGGTACATTATTTTCTTCCATCCATTTTATAGCCTTTTTTGAGGTATGGCACGCTGCACCATCTTGCTGAAACACAAAATCTTGGCGGGGTGTCAAACATTCTTCCATCACTGGTAAAAGCGATCCTTCTAAAATTGCCAAATATTTGTTTGTATCCACATTTCCATCAATAAAATGAAGTTTTCCTACTCCTTTTGATGACATACTGCCCCAGACCATAATGGATGCTGGAAATTTCACTTTTCTCTTCAGACAGTCAACATGGAATGCTTCATTCTTTTTGCGAATAACTCTACTGCGAATGTCACCAACACAAACTTCGAATCGGGCCTCATCACTTCATTGTATTGCACACCATTGTTGAGGTGTCTATTGTCTATGTTCTTTAGCCCATCTAAGCCGATTTTTCTTTTGCAGTGGAGTTAATAGTGGCTTTTCTTTGACCTATAAATAAGTTGTGCAACTTTAGGGTTTTTACTTCACTTTTTTTTATAAGAAAACTTACCTTGCAAGTGCTAAATCCCAGTTTGTGGGCCTCTCTATGAGTTGTGGACCTCAAAATTCTCCTTCCAACAGCGTCACTCCACAGAGCACTTAATTGTAAATAATTGGCACGCCTGTTTTTCACGATTATTCTTCTTAATGCTCTTCGGTCGGCATTTGTGATATTACTTTTTTTCACATATCGTGGCTTAATATTAACTGAACCAGTTACGTTATATCTTCTAACAATATTTCTCTCACTGTACCGCGATAAGTCTAACAAAGTTGCAATTCCTGAGTTTGATTTCCCAGAATTAAAAAATTTAATTATCAATAACCGAATTTTCTCACTAATAATCTTTCTTCTACCCATTTTGCAAACCTTAACTACCCAAAAACTATTTTAAACGTATTCTGACAGCTGTAATTAATAAAAACAATTGTCATGGCTTTTATTTTTCACAGCCACCTATGCGTTATAGACTTATTTGCATTGAAATGAAAATAGGTTGATATGCTGTAATTGCAACATGTGTTATTTTTATGCTGCAAATTTGATTAGTAAGTGATGAAATTGGTGTTTTCTACTATATATTATCAAAATATTCATTGTTAATATTTTAAACCTATAACACCCTGCTACATTTTTATTATTTGTGTTTGATAAGAAAAAAACTAAGATTTCAATAGTTGGGCCAACTGAAGTGGGAAGGGGCTCGTACATGAATGGTTGATAGAAGACCGGTGTTCTCAGTTTCTGAAAATGCTTCTAGTATAGACTGTCGACATTGGATTTAGTTATATCGAAGATCAACAGGAGTAAACACAAATCGTGAGCACATGACAAGCAAGTCATAATGACAGTGACAAGCATAAAGGTGGAATGCTCATGTGCCCACGAAAAAATGTTCGACGCTGTGAGAGAAAAACATGGCGTAAGTTCATTAGTTCATGAAGGATTAACATCCCTTAAAATTGTCTGGTTTCTGGGTTACCAGACCTGACAGACTTACAAACCGACACTGTGACTCAAGAGCTAAGGTCCCACGGACCGCTCTGACAACCAACGATGACTTGGATTATCATCGGCACAAGTCAGTCCCTTTGAACTAGATACAATCATGTATTACAAAAAAATTGAATATGTCAAGTCAACCAAGCAGGTTCATATACAATTAGTACATACTCCATAGGTGTCATCAACTTGATAACGCTGACACTAGTTTCTTCCCCGACCATCTGGCGTCACTGCTGGAGCACTCCAGTCGAAGAGGTCGTAAGCGCCAGCCACATACTATAAATGCCTGCCGGCGATACTGTCAGACGCAAAACAGGGTTCGGCGTATGGAAGCCGCTGTTGCATCGCATCGTCCCGACAGACCGCGTGTTTTGTCTATAAATATTTATCTAGTTATAAGGGCAAACGTACGGGAAAGTCTTTGGTGTGTGAAATATGTACTGATACAATGACTGGGGTTGGAAGTGTACAAATATAATTTGCCAACAAAATGAGATATACCTTCCCCACAACATACGAAGTTTGCTCAATCTTTAATTTTTTGGCGTTTTCGTCCCTAGCTCCGCCGCCACTAGACCGATTTTCAAAAACTACAAAGCTGTTCCTCATTGGCGTAGTAGTAGCCTTGTACGAAAATTTCATACACGTCCGATCTGTACTTTACAAGTTATATGCGGTCCAAAGATTAGCGGACAGACAGTAAGGAAGTGAAAACGTATAGACATACATAGTCATAGGCCGATTGCATATGTGTGTTTGCATGAGGGAGATGGATGTATAAAAGGAATTCGTCTAGCTCTAGGTGACCCGCCGAAATTCGTGAAAATACATATATAGCTATCAGTATCATTGGCTCGAATAGCAGTTCCGAGTAGTTAGAAATCGAGTTACAAACATATTGTTGGAGCTAAATGATTGTGGTTAATCACGACGCCAGAAACCAAAAGATGAAACGCCGATAAAAATTTTAGCACTGGTCTGCTATTAGATCTTAGAGGAAATGTAATATATGGATTTCAAACAAAAAACTATCTATACTTAACACAACAATTGAAGAAATCAGGAAGGAAGTTGTTAATAACCAGCGGCTGCTGTAAAATGCGGAAATACGGAAGTCCGTATGTAATACTACAAGTATAATTTTTCACCAACTGCTTATACAAAAAATACCAATGCGTTTTACATACCATAGGCATTCATTCATGCTTCAGTTACTAAAGTCAGTGAGCATACTAACACTCGCATAGCTATTTACCTGGGAAGCATTTTATTGAACTGTTTTTAGTCTAACGATTTAAGTTCATTACGGGTAAAAACATATGATAGCGAAAGAACAAAAGTCAAGGTTAGTTAGTAAAGTTATTGGTATCATTCTATTCTACGTTTATCAGAAGCTTAATGTTTCCGCGGTACTCAGTTACCGCTGCACCGATTCCTAAACTTTGTGGAGCATCACAAGGTAGTGCTTGGGAAGAAAACGTCAAACCTAAAGACACCTTAACCCTATTTGTATTTTATCGTATAAATATAGCTACAATTTCATAGAATTACATTGTTTGGAACATGACAGGGAAAAAGTGACATCTTTACCTCATATTCCACTAACGTTAGCAGCTCATCAGAAACAAGATCAGCTTGCTTAGTATCATATACCTCAAGAAGACATAAATCATCTTCTCAGAAGCATGCCCTGATGACTGAACGGATTTATACGACTACATTGCTTATTTGTAATTGCATTCACATAAAATACATTTTTGCTGGGTATTCTATTTTTCCACTGAGTGTAAAAGAATGCGCCATTTTTTTGTTTTATTAGCGAGAATCCCATGTGAAGTAGAATGCAAGGCTTACATTTTTTCCTCATAAACTGCTGAGCTCCTTCAAATACGCAAGAGTTGTTTTTTATCGAATTATATCCAGCAGTTGTATAGTATTACAATTGTAAACAATTCTAGACGGCTCCATAGAGAATAACCAGGGGATTGAGCTGGATCTGTTTGTTTTCTATCTCGTTGAATATTACCAACCGTACATGACGCCGTTTCATGCTTGTTAGCAGTCATGTAAGTCTTGGAGGCAGACAACGGAAAGCGGACAAGCGCATATGGCCTACTGAAGAACTCAGTAAATAATTCGCGAGGTGACTGTTACCACCACCTCAGCATATCCGTGATTTTATTAAAAACTCACGAGCCACTATATTGAAGGTGCTGTATGTAACTCAGTGACGAGAGATCATCCTCATGGGCTTGCAACGGTTGACGAGGAGATTGATAGCTTCATTATTTTGAACAGATAAGACAAACTGCGAAGCCTCGCATGTAATTTTTAACAATATTTTAAATATTATTTCGTGGAAATCTATTTAAGATAGAGAGGTTTTTTCAACAATAGCTAAAAGTTAAGATGGTAAAAGGATATTACAAAGAATCACCTTTTGAATTTTTGGATCATGTTTTGAAAGTATAATAATTTTTAGGAAGTTTTGAGCTATATAAAAATACTACGAGCCCCTTCCCACTTCAGTTGGCCCAACTATTGAAATCTTAGTTTTTTTCTTATCAAGCACAAATAATAAAAATATAGCAGGGTGTTATAGGTTTAAAATATTAACAATGAATATTTTGTTAATATATAGTAGAAAACACCAACTTTATCATTCCCTAATCAAATTTGCAGCATAAAAATAACACATGTTGCAATTACAGCATATGGACCTATTTCAATTTCAATGCAAAATAAGTCTATAACGCATAGGTGGCTGTGAAAAATAAAAGCCATGACAATTGTTTTTATTAATCACAGCTGTCAGAATACGTTTAAAACAGTTTTGGGTAGTTAAGGTTTTCAAAATGGGTAGAAGAAAGGTTATTAGTGAGAAAATTCGGTTACTGATAATTAAATTTTTTAATTCTGGGAAATCAAACTCAGAAATTGCAACTTTGTTAGACTTATCGCGGTACAGTGTGAGAAATATTGTTAGAAGATATAACGTAACTGGTTCAGTAAATATTAAGCTACGACATGTGGGAAAAAGTAATATCACAAATGCCGACCGAAGAGCATTAAGAAGAATAAGCGTGAAAAACAGGCATGCCAATTATTTACAATTAAGTGCTCTGTGGAGTGACGCTGTTGGAAGGAGAATTTCGAGGTTCACAACTCATAGAGAGGCCCACAAACTGGGAAGTAGTACTTGCAAGGGAAGTTTTCTTATAAAAAAAAGTGAAGTATAAACCCTAAACTTGCACAACTTGTTTATAGGCCAAAGAAAAGCCACTATTAACTCCACTGCAAAAGAAAACTCGGCTTAGATGGGCTAAAGAACATAGACAATGGACACCTCATCAATGGTGTGCAATACAATAGAGTGATGAGGCCCGATTCGAAGTCTGTGTTGGTGACAGTCGCAGTAGAGTTATTCGCAAAAAAAACGAAGCATTCCATGTTGACTGTCTGAAGAGAAAAGTGAAATTTCCAGCATCCATTATGGTCTGGGGCAGTGTGTCATCAAAAGGAGTAGGAAAACTTCATTTCATTGATGGAAATGTGGATACAAACAAATATTTGGCAACTTTAGAAGAATCGCTTCCACCAGTGTTGGAAGCATGTTTGACATCCGGCCAAGATTTTGTGTTTCAGCAAGATGGTGCAGCGTGCCATACCCCAAAAAAGGCTATAAAATGGATGGAAGAAAATAATGTACCACTTTTGAAATGGGTTTCTAGCAGTCCAGATCTGTCACCTATTGAAACTTTGTGGCACGAGATGAAAAAGGTTCTACGACAACATGCTGCTCGTACAATCACCTTAGACTTAGACAAAAGCTTCAAGAAATATGGGATTGTTTTACACCAAATTTTTGCCAAAACTTGGTTAACACTATGCCCCAAACAATTTCAGCCGTAATAAAAAATAAAGGTGATGTTACCCAATGGTAATCTTTCACTTGTTGCTTTGTTAACTTCGCGCATTTATTCGCACATTGTTTATTTGTTCAGATGTTCTATTAGTTATAGGTCTAAGTGATTTCAAATATGTATTTTTTACGACTAGAGTGTATCTAAAATGTTTTTGAGAAAATAAATTGTTTTAGAAGTAAATAGTTTCGTCATGTTTAGTTTATAAAGGCATATTTTGGTACAAATCTTGAAGTGGGCCAACTGAAGTGGGAAGGGGCTCGTATATCATAATTATCTCGACACGGCTTGCGGTATCCATCGCCTATTGCATTGCGCATTATTTAAAAGGTTTTCACTCTAATGATATGCGTCACCGTATATAATAACAATAACACCTAAAAAGATACATCTTTATTCAAATTACATAATATTCTATTGACCATGAACTCGTCTGTTTATTTTTTCCCAGTACACATCGCTGTCCACCTTCCAACATCATTATGACGAATGTTTATGCAGCTATGCAGTAGCAATGGTTTTCGTAGTCAAATAGCAACCATATCCAGGGGCGAACTAAAAAAAAAATGTGTAGAGATTTTATAGAATGGAAAATACTATATAGTAGATTCCAATATTAAATTGTTGACTTTGGATGTCAATTTGAGGAGCTGGCCTGAATAGCCCTTTTAAGTGATTTTTTTCAAATTTAAGTTAGAAATGAATTAAATATTTACTAGATAATTACTTCGTTCGAAATATTTCATAAATGTGCATTCTCAAACGTATGTTTCATGTAAATACGTCTCGATGCATCGCAATCCGCACCGCGTCGTGCATCGGGAGACTATATGTCAGCAGAACGTTTTTTGAGGGAGTCCATAGTAAATATAAGATCTCTTGAGAGATTGAGACTGAGAATTATGACGTTCCTACATACATAATGACATACTTTCGCTTTGTCAAAAGCTTAACCTTTCGGGGTCCAACACATACGAGGTCTGTAAAATAAGTGATGAGACCTGGCAACGTAGCGTTCGATCTAGCAACGCTGGAGGCACCAGACTTGGAGTGAAGACAGCGGAGTATGTGATCCATCTACTGTACAAGTTTGGATTCGCGCGAGTAATTTGGTTGTCCGTAGCGATATTTTTTGTGAAACAGTTTTTTCTATTGTTCTAAAAATGAGTGACATCAATTTCAAGCAACGGTGTGCTATCAGGTTTTGCTTCACACTTGTGTACTGTGCAAAGGAAAATCTTGCTAAACAGACCTACGGAGAAAGTGTTTTGTCAAGACCACAGGTTTCTAGGTGGTTTAAGGCATTTTCGGTAGGGAGAGAGTCGATTGAAGATGAACCACGAAGTGGTAGGCCTTCATCTTCAAGAACCGATGAAAATATTGACAGAATCCGGGATCTTGTGCATTCAGATCGTCGGTTGACAGTCAAAATGATCGTAGAAAGGTTAAATTTGACCATACCGCCGTTCATCAGATCAAGAACAACTGGGTGTTGCAACACGATAATACTCCTTGTCACACAGCAACTCAAACCTCCTTATTCGTCTGTCTTGAGTTCTTGTTACATTTTTCTCTTCTCGAAGCTGAAGAGTTACCTCAAGGAACTCATTTTGGTACAGTCCATCTGCTAAAGGCTATTCCAGTATCGGAGTTTCAGCACTGCTATGAGGAGTAGAAGAACATTCTCCAGCGCTGTGTGGCTAGAGAAGAAAGTTGTTTTGAGGATTACAACGTAAAATTGTAATTATATTTGAATGAAAAATTAAATAAAAAATCAGTTTTATCACGTAATTTACAGACCTCGTATTTTTACGTCGGGCGCCTGAGTAAGCCTGTATCTCATAGTCATAAGAATATGGAGTATAAAAAGGCGAAAGTAATATTCCTGACAAGCAAAAAGAAAAACCCATAGGATCTATGATTAGGGAGCAACGTTTTCATCTTCCTCAGAGAGGAATTATCGGAGATTGTTAGGAGATTAGTAATGATGTCACATACTTTATGCGTTATCTCTATGATATAGGAATGTGATGAAAAGAAAGAATCTATCACTTGTATTTTATACTTTGATGAGGATTTGGAATAGCACAAACACTACTCGAATTCACCTCTTGCATCAGCATATGAGTATATTACACTATACATATACTGCAATTCATCTTCTATATCAATCATTTAAATGATATTTTTCGGGAGATAAAGCTGAAACAATACACCTTTGGTTCACCATAAACTCATTATAAATCATAGAATTTGCTAGACTGAATTTTCTCTTACCTTCGCTTTGTCGACTTCACACCATTTCGAACAACCAAATCGAACACATTATGATTACTAATGACAACTTTTTCCATTTACAGACTCTCACCTAGGCCATCGACGGAGCCATTTTGAAGTTTGCATCACGTACAAAGAGTGGCAGAAGCTAAAAGGACGCATACATTGAGTATCTTTGTGGTGAGAAACGTAAGACTTGTGTTGCAGTGATAAACCAGTGTGCGTGACAAGTGCATTGTCTATGAGTATGTAGTGTTTTACTTGTGACTTTCATATTATCATGTTCTTCTTTCTGTTTTCACAATTTGACGAATGAGCTTAATAAAAGCATGATTTTTAAAGCTATCCAAATTAGATCGCAATTTCTTTCTACTTAAAAACGGCTGTAGATTCAACTCAAATAACATATTTAAGGTGAAAATCATTGTATAAGCTAAAAAGCGTGTTTATTTTGACTACTCCTAGATTGCTTTGCAGTTATATACAAGGCTACAACATTTTCGAGAAATAACGTTTTTATTAGTAAACACTACATGCTGAACTCTAGAACCGTTTAAAATACCTAGGTACCTCCAACTGTGATGCAAAGCTAAAAGCGCCCGTAGGGGCATGCACCCCTCACTCCCGAGAATCCGTTTGGATTATTAGGATCCCTCTCTACCTGAAAAAAATTTGCTACCTTCGGCACTTCAAAAACTTTTGAGTTCACATACACTTCTGCTCTTCAGAAAGCTTTTCGGGCGGTGCACTTTCACAAACAGTTATCTCTTGCCGATGGTCAGCCCCCCTGAGTAAAATTCTTGCGAGTGTTCATGAGCAGGGTTACGATCACCTTGTTATAGACTTTCTCATGTAGAGTGCAGTAATTTATTATTGAGTTACATACAACATCTTCAGTTTACTTGAGCTGTTATCAGGAATATACGAGGTTTGTTCGAATATTCCTATCGGGACACCAAGAGTTAGTATATAGTTATAAAATTGGAGGACTGCTGGATAAAACAATAATAAACGACCCTGGTCTATTTCTGTATAAAGAGACTGAAATCTTTTCAAGTACCAGAAAGCTTCACATGTGAGTTTTCCTAATAAAAACTGTTATTTTCGAAATCTTTAGTCGACAGTAGTCTTCAAAATAGTCGTTTAAAGCTCAAATATTGAGCAATGACAATTCATGATACCCAAAAATGGATATGTAACTGTTGATACAAGTACTTCTGAACACAGGAACCTTTTGGGAAAAATGATGAGAAGTCCATAGAAGACACAATTTTGAACAACTGATCGAAGTATTTGAACTATTAGAGATAAACTCAACACAGTGAATTTGGTCAGTATCAAAAGTTCAACAAGGACGATAAACATTAGAAAAGGAGCAAACATCATAGACTGCTAAGAGTTCTTCTATGCATTTGGCTGTAGGATTAACAAGAAATCCAGAAAAAGGATAATAACTTTTCTTGAGGAGAATGGGATATTTGTTGAGCAGCGCATTGGTTGTGGTTTACCTTCTTGCTGGAGTGGCGCATGCCGGGATCTTGGACACCCTTAACTGGGCCAGGTCTGATAAAATCGATGTGAACCTGCCCTGGTTGCCATGTAAGTACATATTCGATCAGTCATTATACCGTTATAACCAAATACACCAAAATAAACGTGTCAGTCAAAGTGGATGAAGGAGGTTGATGGAAGAAATGAAGAAAATCGAATACTTCAAAATCAATTCCAATACTCAAAATTTGAATAACGGCAACATGGTATCTATGGAAAACTCACCCCGGTACAAAATTCCGAAATTCTTTTGTTTTTATTGCATATCTGTTTCTGTTACACCCGTATCCAGATGTATGGGCATGTGTATCTACCTTTGTGAGCGATACGTATTTCTGCTGGTTGGCTTGTTGTGGACTTCATGTGTGATTTTTTTTCCTCTCCATCTTCGCTTCCTCTGGTTACACCCGTATCCGGATGTTTGGGCGGGTGTATCTACTTTTGTAGTTACATATGTGCATTCATTTCAGGCCTGATGAAGCCAACCAGCAGAAATACGTATCGCTCGGGTTACCTATCCTATTTTCTGCTCGTATCCACTATCCTTCTTTTTGCGGATTTTGCCCATTGTTTTCCTATGTTTTTTGTTATATACCTTTCTCCGCATGATCATTTTCATATATATATATATATAACTATATATAGTCGCTATACCAACAGATTTATTTTTATAATTTTAAGACTAATCCACTAACGATTAATGTCAACAAAATCTTAAAAAACCTAAAACTGCCAAAACCAGAAAGCAAGATAACTGCTGGCTTGTGGTATTTCTGAAGTATGAGGGTTCATTCCTAAGTTTGATTTTTCTACTCAATTCCTTTTAACATTAATGCCCTTGTTTAGATGGGGCTCGATATCACTTACTGCTTTCTTAAAAATATCTATTCGCGGAAAGATTTATTTTTGGAAATATATAAATTACTGCGGGCCAGGTGATCTACCAATCCAAAGTCTGCTTGATGTGGGACCGCCAGGAGGTACGGTTGGGCACACTATCTCGATGAAGTTATACGCTACTTGTTAACTTTCCCAGCTCCTCTCTTTGAAGGAATGCGGCAATGTTTAGATTGTTTGCCCATTTTGTAACATGTCATGCACCTTTTTAATGTTTTGGTCAGCCGATACCCTTACACAGCTGTCATCACGAGACATACTTCTACTGACTATGTCATAAGAGACGGCAGACCGTCTAACAGTGGTCACAGCATTTCGATAAATTTCAGTTATCCTGATACCCTTTTTGGCAGACATTTTATTACGGCTCTTTACTCAACAGGTTCCATTTATATTGGAATTGTTGTGACACATGAACCAAAAAGCATAAAACATCAATACAGTTCGACACATAAAGTTGATATTTTGCTAATATAGCCTACTAAGGTCACTAGTTTTGCTGTCAATAACATCAAATATCACAGTTTTTGGCGGGTAAAAGTAAAACTACAGAAATTACTTTCACTCCTCCATCCACCGATGCGATACGGATGCTCCGCTGTACAACTTATTTGTATAAGATGTCACACTTTTTTGGCGACACCGGATTTTTCTTTCTCTCTCTCTGTATTCGGTTCAAAGCTGCATTTTTATGAACATTTTTATACTTAACGTAGACACAATTCAGACAAGATGACGAGAGGATTACATAGTGAGCAATTAGATTATATAGTTTTATTGATGTCAGGGGTGGAACACAGGGATCAACCCTCGTAATTTGTTCCCAAGTTGTTTTACGGAGAAGATGGTTCCATTCAAAAAAGGAATGTTAGCAATAAATGACGAATCATCGAATCAAAGACCTTCCAGTCACTGTCGATAATTACTAAGCAAAAACTAGTACTTTGTTGAAAGCAAAACACCGCTGCCGGTTACTGACTTGAGAGTTAATAGTCTAGAGGTGATCTGTACTGAGATGGCTATCCTAAGCTCCGGAGTCGTAGCTCTAATATGCATTGGAGTATCTTTTGAGATTATTGGGAATGAGAATATCGGTACGTTCCGCTTCAGAAACCTAATGGAGCCTTTTTTGAGCATAATAATGTAGTTTTTACAAATGAGGTTAAAAAGCATGCTTTTGAGAATTTAACCGAGAAACATATATTAGTGCAAAACAATAAAAACAGAAGGTTATAAAATCTAGCATTTTTTGAGAAATAAGCAGATTATGAACTCTTGCTGATTATTTAACATGGCCTTTCTGGAATTACAGACGGAATTACTACTGAAGATCATCCTATCTTTAAGCAGTTTTTCGAAAAAAGTAATAGATTAAGATAACTTTAGTTTCGTAAATGAATGAAATACTAAATTTTTCTGAATTTCTAAACTCTCGGGGACATGCCGCACTGATACAGATGGCGACTAGATTATTTTTAAGTTGTTTCGAAGCATGAACTTATCATTTGTGTCTGTGACTACGCAAATTATTTTTTTTCTTGGATTGACGTAATAATATATTATTGATCTAGTTTTCCAGTTTAATCGCATTTCAATTGCGCGGACGGAATGATTTTTGTTATAAACTGAACGCAGAATCTAATATTATCCGAAAACATTTCAACGATTTATTCTTATGATTCACTCATTTGAACACGCAAAACTCTGTAATCATATAATGGTATGAGGCATCCTGTGTCTATATTTGAAAATAATGCGTCAATAGTGATGACAGATAAAAAGTTCATTAAAATATAAACAATAATAGTTTTGCACGCAATTCGAATATTCACAATGCACGTGTGATTATAAAAGCAGAACATGTAAAGATACCTTACATCAAGCGGAAATTGAATCATTATTCATTCATAGTAGTAGCAGTACTTTCCGAGATCGTACTTAGTGGGCGCCACCGGGGGTTATTGCAACAGTGACACCACTTTCAGTACTTATATATGATGTGGACAAGCCAAATGGGATAAATTGGATATTTCGATGATGCTTGAAATGTATCAGCCAAAATAGTTTGCAGTTATTTTCGAGAAGACAATATAAAGAACCGTTAGCACAAGTATGCATTTCATTAGAAAGAAAGACTATATCAATCGCTTTTGATAGTGGATCAGTTCTGCATTCGTACAACCCATTAAAGGGATGAAAAACAATCCCAAATGTCAAATTTGGGATAGACGACATGAGGAAAATCGCGTTCATGAATAATTTATATCGTAAAAAGTATGTGATTACTGGCAATATCTGCAAAATGGGCTTATTGCCATTCTGTTACGCCATTTCTGTAGAAGTGAGTAGCCATCCCTCAGTGTGGAGCTATTCATACCGCAAAACGTTCTAGCTATGCATAGTGGATAATCGACAGCTTCCTTATACAAGGGCCGATTCAGAGGGGGACGCGCTCTTCTCAGACACCCAAGTCTACCATTTTTTCTTTAAGAAAATGTTATATATATATATATATATATACCGCTTGTTGATTATTATACAAATACAAATAAAGTCAGAAAAAAATTATAACGATTTTGGGAAAATTCGGTTTTTTCTATCTCTCCTCGGAAGCACTTTGAATTTCTAAGCTTTCTAAGAGTAATTTTGTTAGCTACCTAAATACGCAACTTTGCCCCCATTTAAGTAAATTCGTAACTCTTACCGCTTCCGAGATCTCAGTGGTGAGGGTCGAATTTGAAACACTCTGTATATGGTTGTATCTCGGTGTACAAATTAACTTCCAATGCCTGAATCGTGAGAGACCACCCTCCGCTCAGCAACTGTCACGAGGGCTTGTTATTTCAGAAGCGCTGCTCAGGTACCGTATCGTCAGTCGTTCCTACAATTTTGTAGCATGCCTTTATGGCCCTCCTTGATTATCATAGTTTTCTACTGTTCCATGTCAGAGCTATATTTTGGGGTTATGATATAATTACTTATTTGCTTCAAATTGTTGATTTATATCTGTTATGTCAGCCTGAAATTTCTAACAAACCAAAAAGACATAGCTTTACAATAGGAGAGCGGTGGCGCTGTCACGGAATAGTAGAAATCTAGAAATACCCCAGACTGTCTGAAGGAGAGAAAATGCCATGAAAGTCGAGGAGCCACAAAGCCGTCCTACGATACGACCCTTAAACATGCAGCAGCTACACCCCGCTCTTTTTCTAGTCACCGCTACCCCCTACGCACTTTGTTTTAGTGGTATATAATATATAACAGCTCGGTTGTCACCTCATTACGCCATTTCTTTAGGGACCAGCAACCACCCCTGAGTTTAGAGCTCTTTCAAAGAAATCAGAATCATGGGTTACTTCTATCACTAAATATTCTAGCTTTACATAGCTGAGAATCGATGGTGTTTTTATCTGCTACCGTGAATTTTGAATAGGCAAAAAGTAACCCCAGCGTCCCAAAATTGAAATAGACAACATCAGGAAAACCGCTGTCAAGAGTCTACAGGGTGTTAGGGAAATAATATTCGTAACTTTAAGAGGCGATTTCCTGCATTATTCTAAGCAAAAAAGTTCATTATAACTAATGTCCGAAAATCAATCGTTTTCGAAGAATATGAGTCGTAAATAATTAAATTTTCTCAAACATTTGGCAACGCTGCAACGCAACCGCGATACGAGCGCACGATGCCCGCAACTGATTCATCGAACTGTTTACGTTTGTATGATATTTTATTTGAAAATATGCCTTGAATTATTGAATACTTTCACGCAACTTTTTGTGGCTAATATTATTTAATAACGCGTTCAGTACAGTACATTTACTTAAAAAAATGACAGAACTTACCGGTACGTGGCGATACACACCACCAATTCCCACGATTATCAATCACTTATTTGACACGATGCGATGCACGAAAAAAGAAAAAAACAACATCCGTAAATCACATAAAGTTACAGTTAAATGTATTAGTAATCACAATAGATGTTCAAAATGGGAACCATGGGCATCTACGCAAGCGTGACACCGTCGAACCCAATTTTCTCTAACTCGTTGGAAAATTCCAGGCATATTACGTATTTCATTAGCGGCAGTCAAAATACGCTCCCTTAAAGAGGGATGAGAATCCCTTATTTCAGAGGCGTAAACTAAAT